TCTCTCTCTCTCTCTCTCTCTCTCTCTCTCTCTCCCTCTCTCTCTCTCTCTCTCTCTCTCTCTCTCTCTCTCTCTCTCTCTCTCTCTCTCTCCCTCTCTCTCTCTCTCTCTCTCTCTCTCTCTCTCTCTCTCTCTCTCTCTCTCTCTCTCTCTCTCTCTCTCTCTCTTCTCTCCACTTCCTGTCACAAATAATCTGACAGACATTACAGTGGCCTCGATATTTCCTGTCGTTCGTATCATAAACATCTTCTGTACCTTTTTTGATTTTTGTTGCGTCATAATACAAGACCGATGTAAATTGCATTGGTGAATAGGCCAGTTGCAAATTCGTTGCTTTTCCATCTCTTTCTTTACTTCTTCTTATCTCTTCTTCTTCTTCTTTTTCTTCTTCTTCTTCTTCATCTTCCTTCTTTGTCTTTTTTTCTCCTCCACTTCTTCTTCCTTCTGTCTCACCTCTTCCTTTTCTTCCTCCTAAGCCGCTTCTGCTTCTTCTTCTTCTTCCTAGTGTTTTTCTTCTTCTTCTATTTGCTCTTCTTTTTCTTATTCCTCCTCTTCTTGTTCTTATTTCTCTTCTTCTTGTTCTTATTCCTCCTCTTCTTCCTCGTCTTCTTCTTCTTCTTCCTCGTCTTCTTCTTCTTCTTCCTCGTCTTCTTCTTCTTCTTCCTCGTCTTCTTCTTCTTCTTCTTCCTCGTCTTCTTCTTCTTCTTCTTCGGCTTCTTCTTTCTCCTCCTCTTTCTACTTCCTCCTCTTTCCTCTTCCTCCTCTTTCCTCTTCTTCCTCTCAGTTCAGATTTTTATTCTCTACTACGAATCAAAAGCCAAAAATACCTCATTATCTACTATCATACAATAACTGAAGACTATATTATTTAAGAAAAAATAGTGATAAAACGCTAATTTCAGTGATATTTCAAACGTCATTTAAATACCACGTTTCGTAACGCATCGCTTTCATATTAGAAAGTTATACTTACATATCTTTTAGTGAATCACATTTAGCGTAATAATCGTTGTTAATTGTATGCACATATTACGTCAAAAAATTTCTAATAAAAGGACAAAGAATTCCCCCCTTTCACATATTTTAAAATTTAAATCAGCCTGACATAGCAGAATGTCATTAGCTAACACTTGGTCATAAGTAAATCGTTATAAAATGCTATTTTGAGCTGGGACAAACTCCTGGCCTTTGGAGAACATTTTGAGTGTATATGTTGCTGACTGAACGATAAAAAGAGATTCTACTATTGTCCATCGAGAGTTTACTGTAATGTTCTATTATGTTTCGTAGTGTTGGTATTTTTTTCGGCTGAATTCTTGCTTGGGCTAGTAGATAGAAGGTAAGAGAGGGCAAAAGAAAGGGAAAGAAAGAAAGAGATAGAGACTGAGAGAAGGGGAAGGAGAGAGCGAGATATATATATATATATATATAGATAGATAGAGAGAGAGAGAGAGAGAGAGAGAGAGAGAGAGAGAGAGAGAGAGAGAGAGAGAGAGAGAGAGAGAGAGAGAGAGAGAGAGAGAGAGAGAAAGAGAGAGAGAGAGAGAGAGAGAGAGAGAGAGAGAGAGAGAGAAAGAGAGAGAGCAAGGAACAAGCTTACACACATCCATTAAAGCTAACAGAAACTCTTGACAACAGACTATCTGTGAACGTACGAACTCAACACAAAAAATCATATTCGCACGGATATCACACAACATCCGGGACATAACAGACAAAAGCGAGCTAAAGAATACAAACATAACAACTTCATTACAACATCAATCCAATAATAATGATAACGATAATAATGCTATTAATGATAATGATGATAATAATGATAACAGTAATAACAATAATAATAATAATAATAATGATGGTGATAATAATACAGTAACAATGATAACGATATTAATGTTAATAATAATAATGTTAATAGGAATAATAATGATAACAATAAGAATGTTGATAATGATAATGATAACAATAAGAATGCTTATAATAATAATGATAGCAATAATAATGTTTATAATAGTAATGATAATAATCATGATAATAATAGTAGTAACAATGATAATGAAAATAATAATGATAATAATGATGACAATAACAATGATAATAAAAACAAAAACAACAATAACAATAATGATGATGCTAATATTATTGCAATACTGATAACAACAATGCTAATAATAATAATGATAATAGTAATTATAATGATAATAATAGAATATAATAATAATAATAATAAAATGATAATAATAATAATAATAATAATAATGATAATAATAATAATAATAATAATAATAATAATAATAATAATGATAACAAAGATAACAATAATGATAATTATGACAAAAATGATGACGATGGTAACGACAAGAATTAACATGATATTGATGATAATAGTGTTGATTGTAGTAATAGGACACAACATGATTAATGATTTAAACGATAATGACGATAGGAAAGATTAAAAAGATACAAATAGTGGTGGTATTAATTAATGAGTTAATAAGGT